ATCAAAATTAATATTCAGAAGCTTTGATATTTTATGATAAAGCTTTAAAGATTAATTCAAATCATTAGTGGATTTAAAATAGGAAAAGTATATTTTTATAATTTAAAATTAAGATGAATGCTTAGAAGCTTTAAAAAAGAAATGATAATATACAATACATCTCACAATTCGCCTTTAAAAATTTATTCTTTTTTATTTTGTAGATAATTTTTTAGTTATTATGCCCTTCGAAGAATTGATTGTTTTTATTTTATTAGTGACAATCTAGCCACATTAAAATAAGTATACAAATGATTGACATTCTGACAAAGAACCTTTTTTGTTTTTTTTTCAATTTTTATCAACATTTGCATAAATTCAGAAAAATGCAAGGCTTAGCCTTCTTTATTTTATATACTTCCCTGAAGTTCATAATATTTGATAATGTGATTTCCACATTATTTTCGACTACTTATATGAATAAAAATTTCAATTACTTCCCATAAATTTACATAGAGGTAAGTAGACAATGCTTTTACATTCTTATTATTTATCGAATTTCTCAAAACGTTTAAAGAATTAAATTTTAGATTTAATCTTCTGCATGAATTTATTATTTGATTTACAATTAATCTTTTACATTCAATTAATTGACTAAGTTCTTGAATTTGATTTTCAGACAGTCCTAACACCTTAGAATTTAAATTTTGATAATTTATAGGTAAATTAAGAATTTAGTTAGATAAAAAAAATAAAAAGAGTTGACTTGCCTAATACAATATTTATCTTTTATGATACTATGGGAAATTAAGGCCTTCAAAAATAAATTTAATTTATATATTTTATACAACTTGAATGAAAATCAAAAAAAATTTTCATTAGGTGTTTTCAGCGATAGTCTTAAAACTTTAACATAAACATAATAATAAAAAATTATATCTACCCTAACCTGATTTTGTTAAAATTCTCCCTTCAAGTAAGCGTGTATGGGTTTATTAATTAAATATAGTTATTTTTTATACTTATTCTTTTATCTACGAACTATTTAATGAAATATAACCTTTTTTTGAAACCCTATTAGTTTGAAAAATAAATTATATAAGAGATTCAATTAATTAAATCTAAGATTAATATAAATTAACATCAGAAATCTAAATTAAAACTAAATTAACATATCAGTAATGATAAATTAAAATATACTATTAAAATAAAAAATAAATTTATTTATTTAAGATATAAAAATTATTAACCTCTAAAAATATATCTATAAATTAACTTATCACAAAATTTTTAAATTAATACTCTAGCTTTAATATAAATTCATATATTTTAATGAAAAATTCAAAATTTTTATTGCAGGAAATGTAATCTATTTATTTATTATTCAATATGTCTTCATTATTATGAAAGATTTATTCCCCTATTCAACCATAATCTTAAGATATCATATTTGATATTTGCAAATCCTCAAATTTCGTAAAATCTTTATAAAAGTAAAAAAATTTATTGCTTTCACATCAGCTATTTAGGCAGAAGCTTTTTTCATACTATTTAATTTGATATTTTATTTGTTAATTCAAAAATAAATTATAAAATATTTCAATATTATACTAAATTTTTTGAAGCATAATTTAAATAAAAATCAGAGAAGTATTAAATATCAAGAAGAAAATGCTTATTTCTTCATTTCTTTGTGTGGAGGCATAAGTGTAAAGAATTAGCAGTTTCATATAAGCGTATTAGAGGATGTAGAACATGCAAATTTAATAAAGCATCCATCATATGAAAAAATAGTTCAAAATATAGGAAGAAGAAATGAAGAATTAATTTTAATGGTCATAAATAATGAAAATAATATGTGCAGGAAGAGAAAGCAGCTTATGTAAAAGAACAGCAACAGACAGAAAGAACTCTCGATAAATTTTTGAAACTACATATAAAATAGCTGCTAAGGCAAAAGCAGTAGAAAGTTTACAAAGAATAGTAAGAGATTTGAAAGTTGAATCATATAAAAAAATGAAACAATAGAAATGTTCATAAATTAATTAGGAATATCAGAAATTGATTAGAAATTTGAAAATAGAGTAATAGATGGTGAATTATGGATAATAAATAAACAGCAAAACTAAGATATTTCTGGCTAAAAAATCTTTTCAGTTTTAGGATTTGCTTAGTTTTGTTATGTAGTTGTTACAGTAGACATTATTCCTAAAATTATCAATAGTATTCAAATATTAGGAGTAGAAAACTATTCTAATAAATTGGGTTTAAGTCGATGATATACAAAGACTATAAGCAAGAGTATTTCATATCAGTGAAAGATAACAAAATGCTTATTAATTTAAACAAAAGAAAAAAACTTCTATCTAATATTCTAATCCAATCAATCTACAAAATTTAAATATTATTTATTATGTTATTTTT